GTAACTTCTTTCAATTCTTATATATTGTAATTAATAAATTAGGTTATACATTGTATATTATAATAGCCCCTAAAGTACATATAAATGTTTAAAACTAAAATACGAAACTATTTAAAAGGCTTTACTTTAAAGTAAACTTTTAAATAAGCTTGTAGACTATGTTAGGATTTAAGTAGGTTCAAGTCTGAGCCATAAAAAAAGTTTTACATAGGTTTGAGGTCAGGTTCAGATATTTGATTTACTACACAGGTTTAGGTCTATTTGGCCAAAACCTGACTCGACCTAACTTATTTCTACCCCTACATGACACAATCTCACTAAAACTATATGGATTAAAAATACTAAAAAATTACAAAAATTAAAAGCAAAACTCTAAAAACTATATAGACTGATAATTATATTTTCTCATTTTTATATGTGAAATAATAATTTTGATTATATGTGTGTTTTTCAGCCTTTAATTCGGTGAACCAAGTATACCCTTAGCTTGGCATCACACAATGAAATTAGACAAACATGTCTCTTAAATTTTAAATGAAAAAAATTAATGACGGTTCGATATGTGATATATAAATTATTTAAATAATTACAAATTCAAGAATTTTAATCATAAAGAAGATATTTAAATTTTAAATATAATTTTTAATTTATAATTGAGATTCATATCAACCAATATTTATAATTCATTTTTTAAAAATTATACAACACATAAATATCATTAATTTTTAAAAATTTTACTGTCATCCTCCATAAAATTAGTCATCAAAGGGGACTAATCGATTGAAATGTTATTACTTTTTTATTTAAAAATATAAAATATTTTTAATTAAATCTCACTTTTCAATGAAATGTTACATATTTTTTAATTAATTTTATTTTTTTATATTTATTTTTATTAAATATTTTATAATAAATATAAAGTTATTATTAGATATTTAAAAAAAATAATAATTATATTTTAAAAATTAAAAATATTTTATATTTTTAAATATTTAATTTTTTAAAAAGTATTTTATATTTTTAAACCGGGAAAGTATTATTTTTCTTTTGGTTAAAAAATGTCATGCTTCTCCTACCCCTTATTTTAATATTATTATTTTATTATATTCAGAAAAAGAGAAAAAATTCATTTTTTTTTTATGTCTATCATGCAACAGTACATGGACGTGACATAAAGCGAGTAAGCGATAAAACATGCAAAGAGAGAAATGAAAAGCTCATCTTTTAAATTAAAAGATTTTCAATTCCAATTAAATAAAACAAGTTAGCATCATGTTAGTTACATAGGAGAACTTTGTTCTCATTATCTATCAAATTTAAACTGAGGTTAGTAAACAATATATCATACGTTAAATATATTTATAAAAATATAAAAATATTTTCTGAATTTTTTTATAAAAATTCAGTATATCATTTATATATAAGCACGACTCAATTTTTATATTCATGTCATACATTGATTTTTTTTTAATATTGTGATAAAAAATAGATTTATTTTTGTTTGTTTATAAAGCTATGAAGTAGGGTAGAGAGAGTAGGGTCTTGAAACTAAAGAGCTTTATTCTCTCTCTCTCTACATAGCAGCTTGTCTGTTGCTTGGCCATGACCATCACATTCACACCTTGCAGCTGTGACGTCGCTCCCAAACGCCAACAGGACAGACTTTCCAAACCCTAAAAAGTAAAAACCCTAACCAGTAATCATCATCATCCTCTTTGCCAAGCCCTACATTTGGACTGCTTTTCCATCAACTTCTTTTTTTCCGGCTTAAAAAAAAAAATACAATTCTCTCCCTTCCTTCCCCGACAAATTCTCATATTTTCAGAGATACTATTACTATATATATATAACTACAATTAATTATAATTCGAGTCTATATGTATTATAATTAAAAGAGTCTTTATTCATGACCATGCGTGAGACCCATGACTTTTGTGAAATATTGATTGATTATAAAGATATGAAATGTTAAAATAAAATATAAATTTTCTTGCCGGCCATAATATTCATGGAGATGAATAATGCAACTTAATTATAATTAGATTCTGGGACAAAATGCATGGCTATTGTTTAGTGTAGTTTAGTTTGGTCAATATAAAATTATAAAAGGTGTAGGAAAATATATTATTTTGTCCGTATCACCTTATGTCCAAAGCTCACTCTAGCCGATGTTAATTAAATCTATAACTAATTGCACTATCTACATCTATATCTTATAAATGGTATAACTTTATCTCCTTTTTTTTTTCGTGATCCAAAACGCATCGTCTCAAACTCTGCGCAGAAGGAAAGGACGTGTTTATGTATTACATATGATAATATATCTTATTTATTTATTTCTATTAATTTAAAATATAATGTGATTGGATGTTGAATGATTCATTAATTTTTTTTAAAAAAGAAGGTATGAGAACTTGATTCCGGATATTAAAAAAAACTTAAATTAAAGATTTTATTAGAAGATGGGTTTCATTCCTCGCTAGTGCCATGGGGGTTATTGCATTAGCAAGACATGGCACAAATGATAAGCTACATTCATGTCTTTTAAGATATTGAAAAGCATTAGTCATCGGAAAAAGGTTTGCTTCTTGAATAGAATTCAGATACTATGTCGAAGAATTAGTCTCTGACAGTACACTTGTACCATGAATACTAGAGAAGTAAAAGAAAAAGAAAAAAGAATGGTGTGATTCTAAATGGTCTTAATGTCTTTTGTTTTATTGGACTCTCAATTTGTGGTAAGGTTTTCCTCTTTTCAAGCTCCATAAAGATCCCAACCCTCACATCCAGGTAACATTCCAGTCATCACCACCTTCTAAGCAATACTTTTTTTTAGACTCACTTCTACGGTGGAGAAAATTAAATCTCAAAATTAAGAATTAGCATGCTCTGTCTCTTTTTTCCTCTTTCATAAGCATATGATTTTGCAATAGCCTGTTGTATGTGGGCGAAAATTATAATTGAATGAGACTCACAAAAAGTTAAATGGAATAATCCATAATTTTGTACGAAAAAAAAAGATGTGTCAGGAAATTATGGGCCCAGTGATTGGATGGATCGTCATGCTTGATGCTAAACTATTTCTTAACTTGTCTTTCTTTGTCACAACTTGGAACTTACCACTCATTTTTCTACCTGCATTATTGTTCTTAAATGTCTGCTAGTAATAATGAATATACAAAAACATGATTTTTTTAATATAAAAATCTAGAATACAAATCCTAAAGTTAAAATTGGTGAATTTGGATATAGTTTTCGTTGTTTAGTATTTTTATTTATTTTATCATTTTTCTAAAATATAAAATCCTTTTTCTCCTTTTTAAAAATAAAAACTTCAAATAAATTTACCAATACCAAGTTTTGAGAATTAAATCCAAAAATAAGCTTAGTTAAAATCAGTAAGCAGTTGGATTATTTTGGAATCCAACGAGTGGCAATCGGATCTCACTGTAAAGATTTGATTGACTCTCTTTAACTTGTCGATCACCCTTCTTATTTTTCTGATTTTTTCACAAAATATCAAGTGATGTACATTCTTTAGTTGGAAATTTATATTTGAAATTACTTTCAAATTGATGGCAATTTAAAATATGTGAAAATTTTTAATAAAAAATGACTAAAACAAGATTCTGATAAAAAAAAACACTAAAACAAGATTTGATATAAAAATTTAACATTTCATGTCTGAAAAATCAATTACAATATTTATGATTTATAAATGATATAACTTGTTTTTTTTTTTGGCCGCAGATAAATGATATAACTTGTTACTAATCTTATCTCACACACACACACACTCATTGTAATAGTGATTTTGTGACATCGATGGCTTGAAATTGCGGCTGAGATGAGGAAACTTAAGAAAATATTATTAAAAAAACATTAATATGTCTGGGAGATGGGAGATTTGTTCAAAGAGAGGGTTAATATTATTAAAAACATTAATATGTCTAGAAAATATTACAAAACACAATATTTTATTTACAAGAAGTTAAGGTATAGTATGATTTATGGTGTGATAAATTAAAGATGGGAGAGATGGGGAAGCAAGCGACAATTTGTACGTAACCTGAGAGATAAGGTGCTTTCACAAATCACTGCGGTATTTCACAGCAAGTGATGCTACTCTACAATCTACGCCCTTCTCACCAATGACCATCAGAGAACGCACAATCCTTCTATCTATGATCTATTTCTACCATTTCGTAGAGATCTAGTATTCTGTGTGATCCAGTCTAGAGAAAGATAGAGATAGAGTGTGAGTGAACGAAGAGACATTCGGACTGTCCCACTAGCTTTACCAGCTTTACTCGCTTTTTTCCATGTAAATAATCTCGGATTAGATTAGATGCTGTGTGTGACACACACTAAATAACAAGACAGAGAAAGAGAAATTCACAAAAGAAAACATGCATCATCATGTTACAGCAAGACACTCGCAATTATGAATGCCAATGAACATCATCAACAGTACATCAGAATTCAGAAGACAGAGACTCAGAGACTAATTAACTACAATGAACAGATTCTCGATTAACAAGGAAGATCGAAGCCCAGCGTACGTTGGATTAAGTATATTTCTTCAACCTGAGGGACCGAGCGAGGCCTTCTTTTTGTTCAGAAATGACTAAAGAGAAGACAGAAGCGGGAAAGTAGTGTGAGAGAATATTGAATGAGGGGCTGCTAATAAAAGTATAGTAGAATGGGAGAGATATGGCAAAATCTAAATTTATGCTTAACAATACGCATATTCTCGTTCATATATAGTTTACTTACATTATTGATGTCCATGCTTTCAAGTAATTCCCATGAACAAAATTTAAATGATTTTTAGATAAATAAATATATACCCCAATTACTTTGCCTCAAATCACAATCTAAACACTACCATTTTTTCGCAGAATCACCTTTTAAATAACAAAATTTTATATATTCTGACGTGAATTGATGGCGATCTTGTATTAAAAAATTTTAATAATTGAGATATTAGGAAGAACAAATTGAGTAATTTATTGTTTATTGAAAAAACATGATACAAGAAGGCGATTTCGTATTCCCAAAACCCATGGCCTGAGCATCCATCATCGGGGAGTATCAGCCAAGTAGGTGACTTGTTGGAACATCCTCGATTTGATCGTTCGTCTCTCTCTCTATCGCCTGCTTTTGTTGGCAGAAGCCATGGCAGTGTGATCAGTTTAGTGCAAGAAAAGAGGGAGAGAGTTTTTCATTGGGAAGGTAATAAAGCTTCGTGTGCTCTACAGTTCCTCAGAACACTGTTCGCACCAACAAAAATTCTTCTTTCTTTCTTCCCCAATTCCTTTTTCTAACTCAAGTTTAACAATCTCCAATCCATAATCATCATCTCTCTCTCTCTCTAGGCTATACCCTGCGTGTCTTCTGCTGCAACTCCAATTCACCCTTCCTTTCTCTGCAACTTGTTCTCCTGCGAGTAACACACAGAGAGAGGTAATACTATATCAGCAAAATTAAACACACCTATTCAACAAAGCAAATCTTCTCATCAGGCTTTACCACACAAGCCAAGTATATTTAGGATTTTCCTGTCAAAAGCCTGAAACTTGTCCCACAAAACCCGGGAGATAGACCTATGTTACGTTACCAAGAGGGGGAGATAGAGATAGACTGAGAAACAAAAAGTTTTGTCCATGGGCTTGTGTTAGATACACAATCTCACAACACTTGTTAACAAAAGCAGGTAGGAGAGAACAAAGGATCTAGAGAAGATAAGGTTATATTGAGCGTGAGAGAGAGAGAGAGAGAGAGATCTGGAGGGAATGGAAGACGGTGGTTGTAATGGGAGTTCATGTGTGATGGGTTTTGGAGAGAACAGTAACAATAGTAGTGGTGGTGGGTTGTGTGCTTCATCTCATCCAATGATGATGATGATGCCTTTTGTGACTACTTGTCATAATGTTTCCCATCAAATTCCATTCAGTCCTAATCCTATGAATAATGCTCCTCCCACACAAAGTACTCCTTTGTTTCCTTTGCCTTCTTGCACTAACACTCCTACTACTTCCAATCATCATCCCCAAAACCACCACCACACCACCACCACCAACACTACTTCTTCTGGTTCTGGGTTAGCCTCCTTTTTCATGGACGCCAACAACAGCAACAACAACGCTAGCTCTTCTTCTTCTGCCAAAGCAAAGATCATGGCTCATCCTCACTATCATCGTCTTTTGTCAGCCTACGTTAATTGTCAAAAGGTTAGAAATATGAAACAAAATAGAAAAGAACCGCTTAATTTTGACTCTACTTTTGGGTAACCTCTTAACCTAAACGGTGAGAAAAAGTAAAGAAAGAAGCAACTTGGACATCCATTGACGAGAAATTAATGATGCATATTAATTAGTCTTTGTACACGCTCTCTCTTGTAACTTCGGATCTGCTCATTTCATTTCATTAATAATTATTATCCTGTATTGGGTGAATAGTTATGATGGAATTTTTAATTAAAAAGAAACAGAACTGATTGTTAAATCTCTTAAGCTCGTTTTGACGTATCATTTCCTGTGGAAAAATAATTAAAAAAAAACTTTGGCAGGTCGGAGCTCCGCCGGAAGCGGTGGCGAGGTTAGAGGAAGCATGTGCGTCTGCTTTGACAATGGCCGCCGCTGGTGGGTCGGGGTGTATCGGAGAAGATCCGGCACTGGATCAGTTTATGGAGGCGTATTGTGAGATGCTGACCAAGTACGAGCAAGAGCTCTCCAAACCCTTCAAGGAAGCTATGCACTTTCTTCACACCATCGAGTCTCAGTTCAAAGCTCTCACTATTTCTTCCTCGTCAGATTTCGGTGATTAATTCTCTCTCTTCCTCTTTGCTCTATCAAACATGCTTTGAATTTGGATCTGAAAACTCACTGCGTTGGTCCAGTTTTTTGTTTATCCGCATGTTAACATGATGACAAGCTAATGTTTTTATGCAGAACAAGGAAATTTTCTCCGCATGTCAATGAGGGTGGTATTGAAGATTAAAATATTCTGTTCATTTAGTTCAACATGATAAGTTTTGTTTCACGAGCCCAGTTAGAGAATTTCATTTGTTCGATTGGCCTAGCTTTAAAAATCCGAACTCGGTTTTGGGTTTTACTTCAGATAAATAAAGCTAGGTTATGCTAAAAGTTCTATAGCAATCTATTCTATTTCTTCATTTTGGGTATTTGTTGTTTGATTAATTGAATGGCCATGCATGTCTTGTTTCGGAGGATTAAGGTTTCGATGCTGTCGCAAGAGAACTAACTCGTATTCTGATTCTAATCTTATGATAGTGTTCCAATTATTTCGGTTTCCTTCTGAATTCTAGCATGTATTCTAGTGTTTTCTCATTATGATGAAGTATGATATACTCGTAAGCATGTCATGCCCAAGTCGTGTAATTTCTGTCAAGACGTAAATGGATTGGTACATATATGGTTCAGGCCTCTGACTCTCTTTCTCGATATTTGTGCATTGAATGATCTTTTGTTGTTATCTAACTTATCTTGGATCATATATATGCGTGGCTTGATATTGACATAAATCTTAGTATCGCTTTAATAATCATCCTTTGTCTATGTATTTCCCCATTGGATGATTATTTACAGAGAGTTTCAGGATTATGGGTGTCCATATATATATATATATATAATAAAAGAACTTGGAAAAGAAATCCAAGAAATGGCATGTGGGGACATCTGGGACTGTAGCTTTAGGTTTTCTAAGAAGCTAGGGTTTCTTCAGACATTACATTATGCCCAGTAATGGCAATTGCGAGGTTGGCTATGGACACAGTTTTCCAGATCATTGGAACTGTAAAATGCAGCCAAAGAACGGTTATACAGTGATGACCTGAGGCCATTGGCGCAGATGGTGCAGGTGTTATTCAGGATAAAAGTCTAAGAATTACTACTATGTTATTTCTGTTCCCATTGAAGTCAAATATATATTGTATAAATTATTTATTAATATTAATCATAAGATTGGGGCAGGTGAAAATTCCGTAGTATACTTATTCTGGTCATTGACTGGTTCAAGGAGTTTTTGGGATTTAACTTGTTTGCAGGGGGTTGAAATTTTTAAGACTTGAAATTCAAACATATGTACCTGGGGAATGGGAAAAAGAATTATGCTTTATCGAAGTAATTTAACGACCAATGGAAGTTCATCAATATTATTGGATTGCATAGGTCTTGCTAATTTTTCTCATGTGGGACCGTCATTTTCTTTTATGGATTGATACTTGATAGAACTTGCAAAAAGAAAATATATATATATATATATATATGTTTGTTTATTATTTATTTTGGTAATTGGTAATATAGAATTTTTAGTCGTGCGGGCGCCTAATTAGGTTTCTTAGTTTTATAACTTAAAATCTTCCCCTCAATGTCATATCTATATGATGCTAATATTGATTGAGATCTTTAATGTTGCTGCCATCAATCAATCCAAGTCAAATTTTGCTGCTATATTGCTGTTTAACGTGCATGATGAATAGGTTATAGTGCATAATTGGATTACATAATTCCAATTTGATATAAACAATACATCTTTTTTCCACTATGCATTGTCAAAGATGTAAGTGTCTATTAATTATTAGACAAAATTCTTAGCATCATTATTTATAGTACCAAACGAAATTTTCCACCTATGCAGGTTATATTATATAGTTTCCTTCATAATGATCTGTGATGCAGCTTCACAAAATTAAGTTAAATTATCGATAATAATTATACATTGTTTTTATGAGCCGTTGTTTGATACTTTAATTCAATTTCTAGGGACTTGACCATACATGGCTAACTAATGACAAATAACTTTTCAGGCACTGGTTAGATGGGGACCCAATTGTCTAAATTATGCTGATTATGGCAGCATTAAGATTGAATTTATATGAACCACTAAATTATATATATATATATATATATTGTGTGTGTGTGTGTGTACAATTTGCATTAGTTTGATTGAATATTTTAAGTAAACTGTTTCTTATATCTTTTGTTTTCTTTCATTTATATGATCATAGGTGTCCCCAATATCACTTGTTTTCATGGATTGAAGCTCCCTCTAGGCTTTAATTACCAGAGTGTGTTTCGTCGATAAAAGTACCATAGCTAATTTTAGTGAAGCAGGCAGCTGGTGTAGAATTAGGGTTTCATGGACGTAGAATTCTTCTTTTAACCTAAACGTAGTGATAAATATAAATTAACAACTTTTTCTTTTGTTATCTAATTGTACTTGTTAATTAATGATTACAAACTTTATATGTTGGTTCTGCAGTACGGCAGTGAGGTTGTGGCCTATTAATAAACTGCTTCCAATTTTCATCAAGTTTAAAATAGTTTACTTGTTCAAGAGTTTATAATTGACTTTTTAAGTGACATTTCTTTTGGGGGAGCTCGAATGACATTTTAAGACCTCGTGAAAATATCAAATCAAGAACTCATCACAACTTAAATTTCCAAATTTCAGCACTCAATTTCCTATATTTCAGTACTGATAAAAAATTTCTGAAATTGAGTGATGTTTTAAGTGAAGCATACATGGATCCACCACAAGTGATTGTTTACATGTTTGTCATGAAAGCTTTGATGCACGAGTCTTGCACTTCATAGGGGTCTTCGAAAGTTCTACATATTTGAGACGCTCTTTAATTTGATAGTTTGTTGACGAGTCATTGCGATCATTTATATATGTGTGAATGTATATAATAACACATAAATATGGATTATGTTATTTAATCAGCATGTGGAGAGGCTAGTGATCGGAATGGATCATCAGAAGAAGACATGGATGTGCCGAAGAATCTGATCGATCCACTGGCGGACGACCAAGAGTTGAAGGGCCAACTTCTGCGGAAATACAGCGGATACTTGGGCAGTCTGAAGCAGGAATTCATGAAGAAGAGGAAGAAAGGGAAGCTTCCTAAAGAAGCAAGACAACAGCTTCTTGATTGGTGGAGCAGACACTATAAATGGCCTTACCCATCTGTACGTTCCAATATAATTCTTCTTCATTATTCTTGAGTACATTATATTAATACCTGACTTGGTGATTTATTAAGATTGTGATGAATGTTTAGTTTTGCTGATTGAATAATGAATGCATGATAATGATGAACAGGAGTCACAGAAGCTGGCACTGGCAGAATCAACAGGACTGGATCAGAAGCAAATAAACAACTGGTTCATAAATCAGAGAAAGCGTCATTGGAAACCTTCAGAGGATATGCAGTTCATGGTGGTCGATCCTTCTCATCCTCACCACCACTATTACATGGACACTGTTCTTGGCAATCCCTATCCTATGATCTAATATCACGATGCTATATATATGGTAAGTCGGGTATGAGAAGCTGTGTATTAATTGTAGTGTCAAATATTTGAAGGGCATTGAACGCTTAAACCTTGTGGGGATGATTAATTGTATTGCGTGTAGAGACTAGACAATTATGTGTAAATCCGGACTGCGAAGCAACCTGTGTAAATCCGGACAGCTCTATATATATTTTTGTCGTCAGATGCAAGGATGCTATTAGGTTTATAAAGTCGAATATAGTACTTGAACTTTGCTGGAACTTCATTTGAGCTTAGCATATGTAGCATTCATTGGCGAATTAATGTTCAATATTTAGGCTTGTTCTTGAGATGTAGAGATAGGTTGCATTGGAAAAAAAAAATTGAGTCAAATAAAACTGGGCCTTTTGGGCTCAAAGTATTGAACTCGAGTCAAATCAGCTAATTTTTATGACTTGTGCTTTGTTTGGATGGATATAAAATATAGGAGGAAAGAAAACATGGGAGGAAGGGAGATTTTCTCCCTATTTGGGTGAGGAAGAACAAATGAGAGGAAAGCAAAGTAGGGAAGAAAATGAATTGTGGAATCTATCACGTTTTCTTTTGCAACTTTTCTCTTTCCAAGTGAACAAATTTTGGAAGCGAAAATTTTTATCCCAACGTCTGCTCTTTCTCTCATGTTTTCGTGCTTACCCATCTTCAACCCACACAGTGGCTCTATTTTCAACGGCTTCGTCATCTTTGAATGTTTTTGCAGTACTCTTCAACCGAGCCTTGTGTATGGTATACAATTTTATTGTATTTTATTTATGTTTACCTCAAAAGTCTACACTGGGGGGGGGGGGTACTTGGAAGAAACGCATAATTGTGATTGCACTCTGCATGTTAAACAATTTTGCCTTTTAACCTCTTTTTTCCTGCAAATTAAAATCCATGACATCCTTGATTTTAATTTTCCTAAGACATTAGAGGTCAAGATTCTAGATTTTCTGAAGTGTAATAAATCATAGCAAATATTATTAGCCTTGCTGATCATATTTTTTGACAACCAATTCGATTACATTAATTTTAATATAATTTTTGTTTTCAATTTATTTTTACAAAAGTAATTATATGGAATAATATATTTTGATATAGGGGCATTACAATCATAATTTATATTTGTTCATTTTCTTTTCTCTTTTATTATTTTTCATTTATCCAAATATAAAAAGTGATAATATTTGTTTTTCAATTTTTTTTTAATTTTTCTTTCTATCCAAACGGAGGGTTAGAGTTAACCTATTTCACTTGTAAAATGGTTCTACTAATTGAAGTTGATGTAAGTGATATAAAATTTTATCATTCAAATAACTAGTTGAAGTTTGAAATTTAGTCCTTATATATATATATATATATATTAATTTAATTGGTAGGATTTTTTTTTTTTTTTGCTCTTAGAATTTCGGAGGAAAAAATCTTTGCTATTGGGATGGAGGTTTATTCCTTGTACTAACCAGAAAAATAAAAAAGGTGAATTGGCTCCTTTTCATGTTTAGTCTACTATAAAACTTAAAAAAAAATTATGTACTTTTGAAGTGGAGAAATGCTATACTAACGTAGTTGTTTAAGGAAAAGAAAAGGCCAAATTTAATGATAATGATGCCTAATTTGCATGGGCTGGTGCTAATAATGGGGAAATCTACTCGCTCATTATGTTGAAAAGTACTCAGCTCTCTCTAAATTTTGAACATGATTGTCATGTAAGTGAGGTCTTTTTATGGTTGTCAGTTAACATATATATAGGCATGTTTGGTTTGGACTTAATCTGAGGTTTGAGTCTCAAAAGTCAAATTGGATCAAAAGAGATACTGTTTGGATAAAAATCGTGGAAAAATGGCTGGTTTTGGGCCAAACTTAGCCATAGGGTAGAAGCTTAGTGTTTTTAGGCTTTTGGCCTTTTGTGGTTATTTATCAATATATTTCAAATTTTTAAAATTTTAAAATAATGCTTCTTAATTATATATGGGGTATTTTTTTATTTTTAAAATTTTAATTTAGTTTAATAGTTCTTCTTAAATAGATCAAATTACACACAGATATATCTTATAAAATTCTTTGTAAACTAATATATTTAAATCAACAATAGTGAATGAATGCCCATTAATGTTATAAAAAGATGCTAATCTTCCTCAATTCATTAAGTTCTATCCTTATAAATAAATAGTCAATATTAATGTTGATTTTTTTTACTAAAATTAATGATACTCATATATCATTGTTGATTTAAGGATACCAATAACTCTTAGAAAAAAATTCCGGCTATTTGAGCAAGGATTTAAACATTAATGTGTTAAATTATTGTGGATTAATTCTTTTTGCTAGGCCCAACTTTTTGCTGATATATAATATCTATTTATAGCCATATATCTATGTACAACCATATATTGATTTTTTCAAATAAAATAATACATTTTTAAGCACCTCAAAACCGTGTAAAATCCCTGCAAAATCCAGCCCACATTGAGAGTTCTAGATGGCTAGCCACCCATCATAGTCCTGCACCATTTAGGAGGGCCTAATTAGAATGGGCCGAAGATTAAATGGGCCAGAATGGGCCTCGTTTGACCGAACTATTCCATTTTTTATGGGCTAAGAACCTAATACACTAGTGATGTCCAAATGACGCTTTAATGGATTTTTTTGATGCCATGACCATCCGATGAACAGTTGAATGGGTTTTTAGACGATGGTACAAATAAGGGGAAGTCACTATCGAGATGTAAGGACTCTAAGTACTCATTGGACCCAGTAAAGAAGAAACGGTTCAGCGGCCTGTAAGGACTTAGCTGTAAAGGAATTCTCATGTCTAATGTCAAAAAATTGCTTTGATTTATGAACACTCCCTCCAGTCTTGATATAACGCAAATTTTGGAAAACTTTTTTTTCGTCTTTAATACACGACAAAGTTATAATACTAACTTTTTTTAATTTATTCCTTATTTATTTATTATCATTTAAATTTTTAGACAATAATTTATTGTGGTTATTAATTCAAAGAAGAATAAAATTAAAAAATTACATACCTTTTTTCTTTAAACTATTTTAAGGATATGCCTTCCATTTTTTTTTTAATATCATGAAGTTAATAAATTTACCTTATATTAGACCCACGTAGGTTAGTTATATGTTTGCTGAAATTAAAATGAATAATAAGACAACCAGGTGATAGGAACAAGATAATAGCATATGAAATTATGAAAAAAGTTGTCGTTAGCTTGGTTACTTTCAAACATGGGGTAACTTACTTAGTCTAAAATTAAATTCTTTCGTTTAATAAATTTTACATGTTAATATCCTATAAGGAAGTTGTCATTACTTGTTGTCTTCTTGTCAATTTCAATGGGTATAACTTATGCTATTTAACCTAAAATTTTCACTTAATAATTTTTTACTTATCAATGTAGTATGAGGAAGTTGTCATTGGCCATTTCCGTAATATAATTACTCGTTGTCTTAATGTCAACGTTCTTGAAGACCTTAGAGCCATTTATCTTTTCATGTGACTTTGAATAATTATATCCTTTCATGAGATTAAACTGTTGTTTCCCAATTAACATGGATAATCATGTACATATGCCACGCATTACATGTGAAAAAAATGAATAATTAATTATATAAAAATTTTGAATTTTGAAAAAATATTTTATAAGTGACATAATTATGAATTCTATGCTCTATGAGTAGCTGCTCATACCTCCTATATTTAGTATTTTTTCATCTCTCATACCTCTTAGTGAATGATTGTAGAAGAGTTTCTCAGGTTAATATCTTTCTACTCTTCCCAAGTTTACATACTATATTATTCTATCCTTCTTTATTATTTGTAATATTAAAATTAAGTTTAAATAGTTGACGGCCTATAAAAAGGTTATGCATAAAGCATTGGGTATTCAAGTGAATGGACTATACTCTATTATTTTCACTCTCAATTCTTCTCGCCTTGCTATTATCTTTTCTTCCCCTCTTTCTTCTTTTTTTTATAACACATATAAATTAATACGCAATTTAGTTTTCAGCAAGTTTTTGATTATTTTGAAATATTACAAAACTAATAAGATGCCTATGTTTGAAATAAATTGCATTTATTGCAGAATGTTACTATACATTGGTTGTCAATTTACATCCCTAAAAATTCATTTAGAAGAAGCAACCATTTGTTAGATTTAATAAAACTACATCTTAGTTTAAATAGACTTTTGAGGGGAGGCCCAAACAAACCCTTAAGATTCATTGTGTGGAATGCGTGTCCATAATGATGGGGAAGTCTTTTTTTTTATTGTTTTAAATACAAGAATTTAAGTAAGTTAGATCATATATTCATCAAGACTAATGAATGACTTCATATTCACAAATTATTTATAGAAATACTTTACATATCACTTACCAACAAAGTTTTTATACCGGTAGTGCTATTTGATCATAATTTCATATGTTATAGATCAAATCTTTATCAAATATAATAACATTTATTAGTAAGTCTTTTTTTTTTTTTTGTATTAGTGCCGGGCAGTTTTCATTTTATGCCCGCTTGATTTCATACTCAAAATTAGTTAAGCATTTTATTAAGGAATATTGCCTATTATTATACCGCCTTCATTTTATTAACAGTTGGGTTAATTAATGTGATTCATCCATAAATAAGACTATCATAATTAAGGTGTCTGGCACTTAACATGTGTAGAATATAAAATATAAATAAAAATAAATTGCTTCTTTATTTGTGTAGATCTCAATTATTTTCTCTTTCTCTTCTTTTTCAAAGTACCCGTGTGTCTCACGTTATTTATGTAACTTTATGATATCTATTGAATGAAATTTGACCAACATTAATGTGACTGGGAAATACTTCTTTTAGGTTTATGTATAAAACTTTTTAACCACTCATAGATTAAGAAATGTGACTAAATTTGTTAACAGTATTAAATAAATTAATTAGCTTGCATAAGCATTTTTTGATATAATTCAGAATTTTTTTTTGATATAATTACGCATTATTCTTGAGCCACATTGAGTAAGACCACATTAAGGGCAAAGTTTTTTTCAACAAGTATTTTAATATAATTACATATTCAAAACTCAACCTCAAGTCTACTCGTTAACCTAATATAACCTTTTATCAGTTAAGCAACATGCTCATTATTAATGTTTCATTAAATTTTATACTGTGTTTGATTGTCTAGCAACATGCTCATTATTAATGTTTCACATAAATTTTATAATTGAGAACATGTTTTAAAAA